ATTCCAAGTTTTGCGTTGAAATGACCGTACGCCCAATTTTCTGTCGTACGCTCGTTTCGTAAATGAGGCCCAGTACGAGTTGAAAAATGATGCTTGTATCACTTACGTTCAAAGAACTCCTTGAGCTCGTTCTTATCCACATCGTGAGGTACGTTTCCAACAAAGAGTTGGTGGCTGTCGGGATACCGGACTGTTCGCCGCACCTCTGGTTCCCCGCTCTCACCCTCCCGCACTGCTAACCAGAGATTAAACATAAGATAAATGACACTGCCATCTGCATATGATGCATGTCTTTTCAGGCTGCTAGTGGACCAGCCATGATTTGTGCTTTTAATTTAACTTTCAATTTTGTGGGAGATGCTATTTATATGCAGACATGAGGTTCATTAAAATGCTCAGGCTGCCTTTAGCAGTTTTGCCAGAGCCAATAAGATTTTGATAGATTGCAAAATCAGCCAATCAGGTCTTTCACAAAAAAAAAAAAACCGCATCAAAATGTTCACATGCACCCATACTAGATCGATTACACTTTTGCACACCTCCTGGTCTTGCGGTTCTGTTGGCTGGAGAGGGTCCTGGTCTTTGATCGCGTGGTCTCTGGTCTCTCTGAGGTCTCTGTGCTGTGGTCTGCGTTTCTGCTTTCACCTCGACACGTGGCTGTGGATCACAAAAATACAGCTAATCACCTAGTGCAATAAAACTATAAAGTGGTTTCAAGCTAAATTTAAATAAATAAATAAAATCTACAACCTATTATAGTCGTACAAAAAAACCCACTAGAATCTACAGCAAGTTTTAAAATGTAGAGGCATTCGTTTAAAGAAAAGCAAAATAGCCTAATGGTAAGTAGTAGAAATTTGGGGTCTGATCCCATCGATTGAAAAATACTTTTACCCACAGTAGTTCATTTCATAGTTTGTTCAGACACTGATCCCATTGATTTTGCCATTTGCTGATGACTTAAGATATTACGGTTTTAAGAACAGATGGTCACAGGAGTTGTATAAAAGAAAAAA